TCACACATTATTTTTTTGTTACAATTTATCTTTTTCATTAGTCACATATTGTTTATTGGTCACAGATTAACCAACTTAATGGTCACAAACAACCAAATAATCCGTGACCACCACCAACCATCAACTTGTGACCACCACCTCACCACTCCCTCCAGCAACACCGCTGCCATAGTAGTTGCCAGAACCACCATCACCACCACCTCCCGACAGCAACACCACTTCAAACAAATGAACACATCGCAGAAAATCACCACCACATCCTCGCATCGATCCACCATTACCTTGACAAGCCTATCACCACCAAATCTACTAGAAGCACCAACACCATCTAGCCACTGCACCGTCGTTGCCAGAACCACCACCACTACCTCACGACAACCGCCGCACCGCCACCATCTCAAACAAACCAACACCACCACCAAATACCACAACTACTTCACCATTGCCATTGCCACCATTTTAACCGTACCACCACACAATCGTTTCCATACACACAAAACAGCACACATACACCATAGATCATCCAATCGCCATTTAGCAGGAATTGCCCACCACCTACACAACAACTCACTGCCATCACCACCACCGTAATCGCAGCTGTACCACCAACACGTTGCACCAATTGTATTCAACACCACAACAAACAAGATGAAGAGAAAACAAAGGTAGAATTAGAAATAAACCCAAATTCCCCCGAATCAACTAATTGAGTGTTTTACCTAACTACTAAAAACCTCCCAGAACCTTCTTCCCACACCAAATCCATCACTAAAGATCCAGCCCTAAACCTCCCAAAACGCCACCCAAATCGGAGATCCATACTGCCTATGCAAACATCGACGACGCTACCAAATTCGCCCAAGCATCCACTCCATCGATCTGATCTTCCACAGCTTAAAGGTCATCCTTGTCGTGCTCAATCCACTGCATCAGCGCCATCGTGGCAGTGGAGCTCCTCTTTTCCCGTGGTTGAGAGAGAGAGAGAGAGAGAGAGAGAGAGAGAAGGGAAAGATAGGTAGAAATGAGAGTGATGTAGGGTTTGCCGTGAGTTGGAATCGAGGTTTTATCTGATTTAATTTTATACTTTTAAAATTTTTAATAATCATCTGATTTTTGAAATTAAATCTTGTAAATCTGAATTTTGAAATTAAATGTTTAAAATTCTGATATCCTATAATTTCCACTAGAACTAAACCAGTCTGGTTCTAGATCTAAAATAACCAGTGTAGCTGGGCAAGGCCCTCCTAGTCAACGTAGAGGCCCAACATTCTCATCCAAATTGAATCGGCCCGAAACACGTCATAGACGTACGTGTCAGTTCACCATTGGGTAAACTCATAGAGCCCACACTTTTAATAACCCTCGCAGCACTCTATTACTCACACCGTCATTGGTTTTGATTAGTTCACTTTCAGAGTTGGATCTTATAAAAGAGACGAAAATGGCGAGATATTGGTCGCGGCAGCTACTACTTTTCGGCCTTATACTCTTCATCAGCCTTGTTGCCACTCAGGTTCTTGTTTTAGCAGAAGAATTTTTCTTTTTTGGTGTTTCTTGGTTGCGATTGGAATGATATTTGATTTTCTGTAAATTTGATTGCTATGAAATTCAGTGACTTGTGTTAAGAAATGGAATAACTGTAGGATCTTACTGTTATTAGCGTATTTTGTTTTCCGATCTTGTTTTGATAGAGTCGATCCAAGGACAGAATTACTCGAAATCAACTTGGTTTTTAGTTTCTCGATTGATCTGAATAAAATTTTGAAGCCAGGAAAAAAATGTTGAAAAGACTAGTTTGTGAAAAAAAAAGATAAAAAAGGGTAACATGGAATGCTGGATACTGGGATCAAATGTTAGGAACCTATTATGAAGCAAAATTGTGTTCCACAACGTGTTATTATGCGAGCCTGAAATGTCTTCAGATCAGATTTTGTCTCTTCGCTTTGCAAAGAAAATGACTCTGTCTCTTTTTAGTAGCCTTTTCATTTCCAGATGGTACCTAAATTTGTTATCTTACAGAAAGAATGAGAGATTGTTATGAATGATTCATTGTGTTTCGAAGTGCAGGCAAAGAAATCAAAAGAAGATTTGAAGGAAGTGACCCACAAGGTTTATTTTGATGTTGAGATTGCAGGAAAACCAGCTGGTATGCTCTTAATCTCAAAATGTGTTATTCAATAAACTCCCAAGGGAGTCGTTGACACACTTAAAAATATTTTTATGATACTGCTTTATAATTTGAGGACTTTCATTGAACTCTTCTTTTCATTGTAAAAGAACCTGGAAAGTTTTCTCCTTTTGGCTGGTGCATCTGGAATTTGTGATGTTTAAGTTTTGTTTATGCGTGTAATGTGTATCAGCGAAGTTGGCCATCTTATTATCAGAATGAGAGTGGTATTTCTTGTCAAACCGATGTGGAGAGATTCTTACCCTTGATTGCTTTAAGATTTTTGCACAGGAGAGAAAATTAACGATTCAAGTTGTTTAGCTGTTTGTGAATACTACCAGGAAACATTGTTTATCGTTTTTGAAAGAAGAGCGAATAGGATCCCGAAGAATTCCGAACATTCCAGGCTCCCGATAGATATCACATCTAGTGCTGGATTTGCATCACAAGATCCAATATACAAAACTGAACTTTTCTCAAAATCAAATCGTCATATGATTTATGGAGTCTTATATTGCCATATTTTTCCAGTATATATTTCCAAATTGGAAACTAATAATTGATTACTAGACAATTCCAATAAACTTGGAATTTCCAAAAAATCATCAGTTATCCTTTTTAAGCCCCAACATTCTGGAAATTACAAAGAGCTGAAATGTACCAAAATCCCTTGACTGACATGCTAAAACACAAAGATCCAAATCCTTCTCTCATCTCTCCATGATCTTTATATTGCCGGCCTCACTCTTCCTCGGCTGGAGAAAACTCATCTCTTGTCTTCTGACGGCCATTACTTGGCACAAGATTTTGTATGCATTACCATCACTTCCTATGAGACAGAGACAAAAAAAAAAAAGTAACGATATCAGCTGCTTTCTTGTAACCTGAAATTGTCGGGAATATATAATCAATTACAGGTAATCAATTACAGGAGCAACATTGAGCCAAAAACTCATCCTTCACTGGTTCCAAGCTTGAATAAAGTTTCCAGTCTAATTATTTGAACCCTTTTGGATTCTGCTAGGTAGTCTTTACAAACAAAATTGCCAGTTAAAATATAAGCATGAGTTGATGAAGAGGAGAAATCAATGTGATTCTTAGGTGTCAGAGTGTATGATGTCTAAATAGGAACCTTTTCCATCCGAAATAATTTTAATAAATATTTTGAATGATTCCTTGTATTAACTCATTTATTTGAAACGTGGCTAGGTAACTGTTGGGAGTGATACAAGTCAAGCGGATAATTATTGTTGCTTTGTGTGTTTACCATTGCAAATCTCATGATTATCCTTTGTCTGAATCTTTGCTAGCATAGGAAAAATGAATTCTCGTCCCATGACTACCAATTTAGGGCTGCCTTTAATTTTTAAATTTAGTGATAGATTCTTGTGATCTAATTTTTTTTTTTTTGCTAGGTTTTGTAGTTTTATTTACCCTAATATATCAAATGCGCTCTCTGTTTCAGGGCGTATTGTTATGGGTCTCTTTGGAAAAACTGTTCCAAAAACAGCAGGTATTGTGGTTTTATTAGATGAATTTTGATAAAGAACTTGTTTAACATTTGATGTTTCGGGAATTAATTTCACCACTTACTTTCTCTTGCAGAAAATTTCAGAGCTTTGTGTACAGGTACAATCACCTCAGCTTTGGCCATGTTTTTTATACCAGTGGCTAGCACAATTCTGAATCACAAGGGGATCGATGAATTGAATTATTGCTTTAATCTGTTACTATATTACACAAAGTTTTATTCTAGTATAATTTTTTGGCTGCCTTAGCGTTCACCTTCACAAACCAGAATCACAAACATGTTTTTATGCATTCAGGGGAGAAAGGTACGGGAAAGAGTGGGAAGCCTCTTCATTACAAAGGAAGCACATTCCACAGAATAATCCCCAGCTTCATGCTTCAAGGCGGGGACTTTACTCTTGGTGATGGAAGAGGTGGGGAATCAATTTACGGGGAGAAGTTTGCTGATGAAAATTTCAAAATCAAACATACTGGACCTGGTAGGAGAACTGCTTATGCCCCATAACCTCCCCTTCCCTAATACCATCTCACTCCATGATTTCAGATGTCTGAGATTCACTGTGTGAAGCATTTATTCTCTGTGTCATCTTATTATTTTTGTCCAATTTTCAGGGCTTTTGTCTATGGCAAATGCTGGGCAGGACACTAATGGTTCACAGTTTTTCATCACAACTGTTACGACCAGCTGGTAACTATATAATTTGTGATCCTGCTGTTTTAATGTCATTTCTTATTGACTAGGGTTTTATTAAGAAAACTTTCATCCATTTTCAGATCTTCAGTCTGCTGCTTCTCTTTAGCCTGAAAATCTAACAAAAGTTTCTCGATGTTCAACAGGTTGGATGGTCGTCATGTTGTATTTGGAAAGGTGCTGTCCGGAATGGATGTGGTGTATAAGATCGAAGCTGAAGGCAACCAAAGTGGAACACCCAAAAGCAAAGTTGTGGTTGCAGACAGCGGTGAACTTCCCCTGTAATCAGCTTGTACTTGAACTTGTCTGTTTCCCCCTTCTATTTACTGCGGATTATGCATCTTAATTTATGTACCTGAATTATGAAGGAAAATGAAATATGTACCATAAAAGTACACTGTTCAGTTTGACAGTTATCTGGTTTCAGAGTTTCTTTTGTTGGGTGAAGATGTGGCAAAAAGATTTGTAATGTGAATTAAGCATTAACCTTTAACTGAAGCATTGTAGAATATGTATCCCGATTAGACAGCCACCTTTAAAACCTTACCTCCAACCCCAACCAAAATGAACGAGGGAAAAATTCATATATACCATACTTTAAGAATACACTTTCAATATTGGCAGACTTGACGATTTCATTGAAAAATCAGGTCATAAATAATATTGTGAAGATGTTTTAATAATATATTCATTTTATTTATATTGCATTTGTTTTGACTTAATTAAAAAAAAAACTTAAATGGATAATCTATTAGATTGGTTTAAATCTTTATCACTTCCTAAAACAGAGGATTTTGTCATATTTCAACCAAATTCTTTCTCTCGACAGAAAACCAGCATCGCCGATCACCTTCCACGGAGAATTATATTTTCATTCAGTAAAAATTCCATCACAATCTTCATCTTTATGTGCTAATTTTCTGGTTTGAAGTTACAATTTAGTGAGCTTCCATTATATTTCGGTGTCCGTAAGTTCTACAGATTTACAGTAGTTGTAATTGACAAAGTTCCGATTTAGTTCGTGGAATTTTTAATTGAAGTATTGCGTATTGTTTCCAGATTTTGACTTCAAAGATGTAGAAAATAGAAACATTGTTCTTCTAAACGATGATTTCGATTACCTAATTTCGTATAGATATGTGACCTTAATTAATTTTTATTTTAGTCTTCACTATAATTATCTACTATTACTTCGATACTTCGTAAATTGCAACATTAATGTCTATAAATGTAATTCACTGTATTGATTAGGCTTATATAGGTTGGTTTCATAGTATGTACATTAATTCATTATTTTAGACTATAAATGTGATCTAATTCAATATTAGATAATGTGACCTTATTTGTAATTCTATGACCTCTAGTCTGTCCGTAGTGTGTGACTATGTTCTATGACTAAATGCTCCGTCCGTCATGTTTAATAACTCGAAATATTCTGGCTAATTAGTACATTGATGAATCTATGAACTGAAGTCTGTGTGTCCCGACACATGATGTATGTTGTGAATTGTTCTAGTAGTTTGGTATGTAACCGAATCTGTAAAATTATAAGTGGTGCGGAAGCGTTTAGGAAATTCTTGTAATAAGGATTATATTGGAATAATCTTGCTTTGTATTGATAAATGATTGATT